GAAACGAAGCAGTGCGTGACACCATCTGGATCTTCAATAACATCAATCCTGTCTATATTGACAGCAGCTGCTAGGATTCATAAGACGAGAATATCTTTTTTAGATCAATTATTTATGGTTTATTTGGTTATAAAAGCAAACAGATACAATCAAGATATGGTCATTAGTTGAGACTTCATTCCAGAGAAATACCTGTCTGTTTCGGCACGTGAGGAAAATATGGAGTATTCAAGTAGATAATCAGGCTGAAGCTGAAGCGACATTTGATGGTCCACTAAGATTTGGAGAGATATAATGGTGATCAAATGGAAAAGATAAGAGTCATCATGGTGGTATTCATAGCTGTTGCGAAGATATTTTGACAAAAAAGTAGTAAGTTGTACATACAATTCTCCTTCTCAGTAGTTTGATATATACACACTTTTCCACTCAGTCTCTCAGAAAGCACTTTTTATGAACTCACGAAACATGCAATACAGAATTTGAAAAAGAAAAGCGATGTGGACTGTTTTAAGACCTAGCCTTTACAGGTTTGATACAAATTGGTAGGGTTTTTGTATCAACGCTCTCAACTAACGGTATTTTTAAAAAATCGTGGGGTTTAGTGCTAGAAGAAGAACGAAGGAATTTTCTAGGATGCTAAAAAGAATTAGTAAAGCATCACGATTACAGTAGGTATCTGCACCAAACCGGACCAAGTACTTGATGCCACCCATGTAGTACAAGCTTCTGTTTAGATTAGTTGAAGCATATAAGCCACGGAAGGTGTATACTGTGTAGAATTGTAACTTGTAAGCTTTCATTACATCAATGAAAGTCCATAATATTTCGAAAAATGCAAAAGTACATCTGTAGTGGTTTACTATTTTTTGTACAATAAATCACTTCTTAGTAAGGCGGAGTATTCACCGATACGGTAATTACATCTATACACGACTTCACGTAGTTCATTATTTCACCATAGTGAGGTTGTGTTCCAGGTGTTGAACTTCGATGGACAAATACTGTAGATTCTAGCACTGTCCACATCAGCGACAGAGCACATTTCTTTATATGTTTGTATAGTAAGCAGGAAATTACGGCAGGAATTGCTTACAAGGGGAAATTCGTCCTATTAGCTTTAACTCAACGTTCACTGGAAGTTGCGTTATAAAAGAATAACTTCTACTGGACGATGGAAAGTGACATCAACAGCAGAAGGAAAGTATCGATGTAATGTGAGAGTACTACAGAATAATTCAGATGTAGGGACCAAAATCGGAAAATAAAGAACCCATACTCTCGTGGGACTGCGTTAACGATATCTTGCCACATAAGTCGACGCAAAGAAATTGATTAAAAATCACCTACCCTATCTCTAAGCTTCTGAAGAAAATAATTCGCTGTTCGATTCAAGGTCCGTTTTGCGAATACGAGTGTCCTAAAGAAGAAGGAAATTGATTAAAATCAATAATTCAAAGACAGATGTCTGAATGAATGAGAATGAGAACGAATGCAATAATTAATATATGGGAAAAAGATCTATTCAGTAGCACCGAATGACGCATAGAACGTTAATGGCACTAGTTAATCCAAGGACACCCTAACAATTGCGCTAATTTTACAAGCTTTCTACATCAATCTTGACCGTACACTTGACGTTTTGTGTTGAACCAACCAAAAAAAAAAAGACTAACGCTCAGATTTTAAAGGCAAAGAAAGTACCGCTTTCACTAACTACTCAGGATGGCTTGGATTCGAGAGGAATTCGGACCAGAGATCAAATGAGCATTTCAGTGAAGACTAGGATAAATGTGTACCATGCATCGAGTTACACGACCTCAATGGACTGCGATGAGCAGAAATTTGCACAAATTCTTAATCATTGTTAAAGGCGGTTTATTTTCAAAGATGATTAGGCCATAAGTTAGCATTCAGATTTTTAACTTAACAGAAAGTATCCCCAATATGTTCCATCTTATACTTACATACCAAAACCCGTGAGTTAGCATCCACTGATGATCTTGCATTTACCGGTTCGATTACTCAAGTTAGACCATCAGTATATCAGCAGACGGACACACTGATAGAACAGCTTGGTTTATGAACCGAATTCTCATCCAGTTGTTGAAAAACATACCAGCCCATTTTCACATTTCAGCCGAATATAACTGGATTGCTTCCGTACCGCGCGTCATAACAGCGCGTATTTCATGGAGTTCTTCGACGTTACCGCAGTTTTTACTAGTGTATCAAAAGACTCCGCAAAGCAAGCCATCTGGGAGTTCCTTATGTAACACGAAAAGTAATAAACATCTATTACGTTCTGATTCTGGAGCACATGACCCTCTTAAAGGCGTACGTAAACTCCTCAATGTACAGATTGTCCGGGAAATATTAAGCACATTAGCAAGAGGCAGTGACGGGCAGCGAGCCTTCTCATTGCATTTTTGTATAAAACAAGCTCTAATTTTCAGGCCATTATTCTACTTTCGATATATGTTGCTTCGTTATCTGCTCGACACAAGAGGACGTGGACAAATGTTTCGATTTATTGAATGAACCGTCAGAGTACATTAAGTTTACCCGAAAAAAAACCGAAAGAAAACTGGCCTCCATTTCTGAACGATCAATTTTAACCTATCCAAAAACGGGTACATCACCAAATCGCACCGAAAGCCAAGTAACAAAATCATATTTTCATTATCTCTCCTCTAACTTCTCCCACACAAAGAATGCAGTTTCATGAAACATTTTTCGAACAACCAGTGTGTACACACAAAGAGAGCTGAAGGAAGAATCTCTGAAACTGGTGTGGCAAACAACCCTTTCTAATGACTACGGAACGGTAGCTGTTTGAGATAAGTGTAGAGGAAAAACCATGCCTCCAAACAATAACTTCGGCGAAAGTACGGTCTCGTTTATCCAGCCCTACCTTTACAACGAAACAAGTACAGCTATAAAACGTTGCTTAACAAAGACTTGTTTAGAGAATTCAGTAGCAGCGACTGAAATACCACCGAGCATTCTAAAACGCTAACCAACTCGTAACCACCTGTATGAGCGTCTATGTAAAACGAAAAATTGCATAATATGATGTAACGTTAAAAATGCTGACATCGTGAATTCGTGTACAGTTTTTATCATTTCTTGTAAAGCGTACGGCGACGAATACATTGGTGAAACGGTTAGACCACTCTGCGTCCGCATAAAAGAACAGATAAGTAGCTTAAAGTTAAACCAATAGAAAGTCGATCTTGGGAACTATTAAACCAGATACTTCACTAGGTAGGGAAAGGGTACAGAAAAATAACGGCGAAGATTTTGAAGTAGAAGTGACGATCGTCGCACAGGAATCGAAAACACCAGCGCGCGAAACTCTGGAAGCATTCTGCAGAAATTTGAAAAATCCGAAACTGAACCGCAGGAAGGAATGCCTCGTTATCACACCTGATCCTACACAATATTCAAGATTGATATTTTAATGTTAGAGATACACATTACTCATCAATGTGCGCTCTGCGTGATTGGCCTCCACGTGGAAGACTCAATGGAAGACTATAGAAAGCGGTTAGTGCGCGAATAAGATATTTCGTTTCCATCTCGATCAAAATCTTGGTATTGCCTTTTTTCTGTTTTGGTTATGGAGGTGTTTCCCTGGGTAGACTGCAGTCTACTTGACCTTTCCAAGCTCTGAAGAAGGCGAAATCCGCCGAAGGGTCAGGTTTTTTCGTGTGTAAAGAATAAAATAACAACGTCATGTTTGCTCATCAAGAATAAAGTGAATTAATTGATCAATGCCGAGATGAATAGAAAGTTGATCATAGGAAATTCCATTACACTTGTATATAAATAGATTACTGTGGACCAATAATCACCAGTGTCCTCGATGAAGTCTAGAACTTTGACAACTTCAGTTTAGCCTTCCCAGTCATAACTGTGGAGCATTGTTTCGAAACATGTGGAACATTATAATGTTCACATATGTTCATTATAATGCTCATAATAAAAATTCACAACACATTTTGGTTTGTTGTCAATGTAAACGACTAATTTCCACAAATATTGGAACCATGAACGCACTTATCAAACGAGTTTCTTCTTCCAGAACTTGTTGACGGCGCTAGTACTGGTACTTTAACAGGGAGATGTTGGAAACGATAATACGCATCAAGTATAGCATCCCACTGAAATGAAAGGATTTTCCAGAAGAACTGAAAACTTGCAGATTCCTTGCCAATTAAATACTGTTGTTGCTTTCTTGCTATATAGTTGGGGGAATAGCATTTAGTGAGGATGCGAAAAAAGGCCGTCGACATTTTTAAGAGATAAGGATAAAAATCTCTAGAGGTTAATCAATCCATGAGGGATGCGCCATGCATTCGACTTCATTATGCATCGTCTGGAGGTGATTGAATGCATATCTGGCCTTTACAATGACTTACGGTAGCCTACTGATTTATCGAGCCAGTTCTGCTATCCTCCCAGACAGATCTGACACCAATTTGCCGACTCCGGAGGAATGGAAAGCTTGGTGGACTATGGGCTAGGGGATCGATTTCACGTGTGTTACAGGGCACCTCCAACCACTGCGCCACACGCGCTCTTGTAAGGGATAGTAGCTGTTAACTGTGAGATGTACTTAAGAATCCTATTTCGTGGTTTATAGAGGATTTTAAAGAAACTTTGGTAAGTTTGTAAGTCTAGTTTTGCATGTTGAGCATTATGACGATCTGTCAAAACCCCTAGAAATGAGCTTGTGAACGGAAGCCTTGCCTTTAAACATTACCCACAAAATCGGATACATGCCATGTATTCTATATAACTCTATGTAGTTGTCTATCTGGATCACCTAATAGCAGAACTCTTGCCTAGGGTCTGCTTCCAACCTGTCTTGGTTTACGAGATTTGATCTAAGCAGTGTCAGGGATTCACGAATCAGTCATTCCGTTGTATCTCCTGAAGTGCGGATATCAAGTATCCTATTCATCATTAACACTATTCTGTATTACTTTATCGATTTAATAGTTATGAAACGAGGCCGAAGTCATATATTTGTAACTGTGCAGTACAACTGCAAGAAATTGACCAACTGTGCGGTAGAATACTACACTCCTCATCAGTAACGGTTTCTGTGGCACATAAAGTGAAATCGCCTCAAGAAGATAAAATCGCATTAAGAACGGCTTTTCAAATCTTAGCGCGCCAAAATAGCTTTCGCTGGACCATGACTGGAGCAATACCTATATTAGGAAAGTTAATAACCCAGCATAAAGGAATCAGCTTCGAAAGAAGATGTATGATGAAGGGGTAGGTTTCACTTATTGTCAAAAGCTGAACTAGAACGATCGAAGCATAGAGCATAAAGGATAAAAGTTTCGGCGCTGTACAATCACAAAGCGATGCGCCATGCATATGACTTCATCAAGCATAACAGAGGTGACTAAATGCATATTTGGTCTACACAACGACTAGCGGTTTCCTACCGTTGTACCGAGTCAGTGCTGTTATCCTCCCAGACTGGTCTGGTATAAAGTTCTCCGACCTCAGAAAGATGGAAAGATTTGTGAGCTCACAGCGCTAGATCTAATTAACGAAGACGTATCGACGGCAGGGTATCTCCACCCCTTGCGCCACACGCACCCATTGATCGTAATATATGGGAACCATGTCAGCGAAATTCTACCAAGCTGTGAAAAATTGTTAGAAATGAACGCAGTGGCTAGATTAAAACAGACTTTTTCGTCAAACTCTTCCTCCGTTATACAGCCATCATAGATCCAGTTCACCGGTTCGAAGAGAGCATAGCGAACCTGAAAATACCGGTTTTTGCAATAGCGACTATATTTCTAGACCAGTGCTAATCAAGGATATCAACTTACGAGCCAAACGGGACAAGTATAGACTGATAGTGTAGAAAAAACACTACAAGTTATTTATATGAATATTTAATTTTAACACCGAGATTTTCTTTGCTACGAAAGTATTTCCAACCACCTATCAGTGGATTACTGCCTCACTGTGGCTTAATATGATATACGGTTATCGATATCACATCTAAAGCAGTGATCCCTCTGATAGCATGATCATGTATGCTGATGAGTTTGATGTTTTCATCCGGAATCCATGCTAGTAAACTTACGCCACTTCAAACCCAGAAGACTAGTTCCAATTAGTGCCCTTTCCTCAAAGAAAAAACTAACAATCAACACCATAATACAACATGGTGCCACAAAACGCAGTATTTTTCCTGCCCGAGCGAGCGGATGTTACAAAAAGCTCTTGTTAGTGGAGCGACAAATAGACATTGTTGTATTATCCAAATGGGTCCCCCGATACTTAATAAGATTATTGGTGATATAAATAATAACGTGGGGACCACGTAGCGTGGATAAGTGATGAATTCCGATTATAGAAAAGGTGCGCAAGCAAGATAACTTCATAAATTTAATTGACAAAAATGATCAAACCGTTTGTGGTGGATGTGGTGGAACCAGATCTCTTGGAATTGGAGTGAGTTTTCGTTCGCAGACGACTTTATGAACAACATACGACACCGGCGCAGTCAACTCTTCCGCTGATACATTTCTTTGCAGCCGTTTGCACTGGAAGAAAGGCTGTTTCAACCTTCATTTCTCAAAATTTTGTCAAAAAAAACCGTGCATTTCGTGTTCAAATATAGGAAATATCTATCATGAGGTTCACAACTGGCCAGCAACATCTGGATCATCAATAATCCTGTTAATAATCCTGAGCTATTTCAAGGCACACCAGTGTAGTGTCAACTCATATCCATTGCCCTCTCAAGTTCATCGAACTTTTTTACAGTTTCTGGTAAGCGAGTTGGTAGCTTTTTTGGCTCTACAGTAGAAACTGAGTATACGTATCATAGCTTTTCAGGATCGGAGCAAACATGAGCTTATTTTTTGAAGGCCAGCAGAGTTAGCATAGTACGTATAGTTCTCTATATAATTCTTCACTTGTTTTTTTCGATGCAATCTTTCGACGAATCGATGTAACCGGCAGGAATCCAATAAAAATCATCACACATGCATAAATACGATTACAGTTAGTTGCTTATTTCAAGATCACTAGCTGGCCTTCCGGAGTAGCTCGTCCCTCAAGGCATACTACATTCACTTTGTTATCATTTAGTCGCCAGCGATGGTGGGTAGAATTTCATGCAGTCACAAAGATGCCCGCTCACCTTGTAGGTGTCGTCACAGAATACGTTTGGATCGCGTAGTCTGGCATATTATTGCTTTTTCAAGCAATCTCTCTACTTCATTGGTGGTTAACAATAAAATCTCAAGTCGACAAAACGAAGATTTTATTAAAATCTTCCACAAATGCCTGTGTTCTTCATTCCAACCGAGTGAGATCACGATCCATTGCAAAGGGACGCCGATAACGTTGTGTACTCTCGGTTAACCACTTCTGCTTTGGATATTATAAGCAGATGTGTTCTCGTGATGTGGTTGTGACAGCAGCGAACGAAAAATTTTATAGATTCGTTCATATCTTGATTGACGAGCTCTCATAGAATAGCGTCAACTTCGACATCGTTGAAGAATTTTCGTTGTATACAAAGGTTAGGACAAAGGATAGTGAGACCGACTTTTATATACCTAGATATGGCTTGGATGTAAGCCATACACAAGGATGCCAGCCAGAATATTGATTGTCTAACTGGTTGATCATTAGCCAAAATTTCTGATATGTGCAATTGGGTGGTTTTCGTGAAGAACTTGCGGTGAACATCGAAAAAGAAGGGATATTGTTTCGAAAACCATTTCGGACGCCTTTTTTAAGAGTGAACCAATGCGAATTTCTCCACTGGTTTAGGAATTTTCCACTTTGAAGATATATTGACATGTAGCTTTTAAGAGCAAGCAAGCAGTTTGGGGCTTCCAACCGGACAACGTCTCCCCATGATATTGTCTAGCCTTGCACACTCCTTTTTTTTAGGAACATAACTGGGAATTCTGAGAAAACGATGCCCAGTAGGCTCATTCTCCAGTGGCAATTATCGAGTTTAATGCGAGCCTTGAAATAAAAATCTTGGAGTCAAATTCAGCATTCAAAAAACCCACACTGAGATATGATGTGGTCGAGACATTTTTTTGTTTAACAGGTGTTCCTGCGAAGCATTATGTTCCTGAAGGTCACGGTGCCAGTTCTTATAAATGGGTTTTTTGTCTGTCTACGGTAGCCTTTTTCCATGTACGTGGTTATTCCTACAACGAGAACATCCTGTAGCTCAGATTTTGGGTTTGGCTGAGTAGATCGCATGTCAGTTTGTTCTTCGCAGGCTCCGAAGAAGGTGAAACCGCCGAAGCGTCGTCTATTGTATCCTAACAAACTCTATAATACCAACCTCGTGTCTACTTATTAAACAAAAACAGCGTATTCCAATATTTTGTCCTTGGCGTTTTGCCTACAGGTAAAAGTTGGCTTATGAGGACTTTAAATGTTCACCTCTACATCATTTTCTTTGTCTATTTTCTCTGCGAATTGCTTGCATATTCCCTTTCGTTCCAGTGATGCTGACACAGTTTTAAGATCCTAAACAGATTTACATAAAAACCAAAACTGGAAGAAGTTTTCACGCTAAGAATAAGAAAAACAATCGAACGGTTTGCAAAAAATCAACCTCTTTAACTTTATCGATATCTTGCACAGCAACTGTCATCTCCTGACAGTCCATATACGAAATGAAGCGCAACTTCGGTTTCGTCGGCTGTAAGATTGAAATCCTCGAACGATACTTGAATATGATGGGTGCTTAACATAGCTATCATAGTATTAAAAAGGAATTTTGCTAAAAACTAAAACTAAAATACTACTACTGGTCGAAGAAAGATCACTTGAAAAATAGCTGTCATACTGGATCTACAAAGAAAAAGTATCGTTACCATGCAGAAAAGTTTCCATAAGACAGTCAACAAAACGAAAACGACCTTGGCTTTCGCCTTTCTGCATTTTTTTTGTGAAAAAATACATCCTACGGTTAGCGAGTGATCCGCATTGTGATTCATTTAGACTACAAGCAAATAATTTCATTGTTCTTCTTCTAATGAAATACTAAGCCTACAAAACGAAATCACCTCCAAGGGAAACCATAAACCAATAGAGACACAGAAGTCATCACTGTTAGAAAAGCATCACCTAATCAGCTAACACAAGATGTAGAACGAAGAAAAAATAGTATAAACAGACTTTAGAAAGTATTTATTTAAAATGAGCTTGCCGAAGACTTTTATGTCGCTAACGCTACTATGATGTTACTATGTAAAAGTCGATTCCTGGTGATGCATTACCACTATCATTTAGGTCTATTTTTTTTACATTTACTTTGTTTCTCGTCGAAGAAGAACTGAGCATTTTTTAAATTATTATTTGCTCACTGTATTAAAATCTTTCATGCTCCACATCCCAAACGAGGTCAGTTGAATTGCTTAGAATCTGTCCCAAAAATGATAACCGAACATCAAAATCAGAAATTATTCTCCATAGTATATTTCTTTTTAGGCTTTTGAAAACTAAATCATTTAAATTGATTGACAAACCACTTGAAACAGCTTTCCTGACCATTCCAATGATGTAGATCGCTTCAAATCGTGCTTCATCGGAACGAACGTCTAAAAACTAGGATGAAATTGAAAAATGGATCTATAAAGTTTGACCTCGTGTAACGCGTAACTACCGAAGACTAGCTTAGTTTCAATTGCGAGCAATCATAATGATAGTGAGATTTTGCAAAATTCCGACTGATTGCTGATAGCACCTATAGGTCAATAACACCGCTCAGAGAAAGTCAAAACGAAGGACCCGTGTGGTGTTGTGGTGAACGCGTTAGCCCCCGGAATGGGTAATAATAGCATGTTCGGTCCTTATCACAGACACCAGCGTGCATACTACAATGCTATTAAAAAAGAATAGGAAAAAAATAAAAAGCGACGACAAGGTGGATAATGTTAAGATCTTCAGTTTAACTCTGTGTGTGCTCCTGACGCATATAAATTTTAAAGAATTATACGGTAGGTGTGTTTAAGCTTAAAACACCAAAGATCCATATGGTTCATCGCAATGAAGCGCCAGTGTAGCAAACACAATCACAAGTTCGATGGAAGACGATTACGTCATTGGGGAATTTTATTACTTCACATTGTATAAAACTGCATCCTTTTGGTTCGACTATGTAATAAAAAGAAGCCCGATGGAGTGCTATCGCATAGCAGAATGATTTAGCCAACTTACAGCATTTGGAGGCGAAGCTTAGATGGAATAACTAAACCTGTGATCCACATTTTCCGCCAGTTTTCGACAGAGAATTTGAAAATCGTAGAAACACGAAGAGTACTTTTTAGCAAGAATTGTTTTCTTTCTCGACAAAACCCTATGCAACTCGTAACTACCAATATTTCAGTAATCATAGATTGTTCTTGGAGTACTTCAGATTGGCGAAGGGCAGTACCTCGCAGTTCGTTTTCAGCTGTTATTTTGACGTGTCCATGATGCATTTTGAACAGGTGTACTGAAAAGATTTTAAAAAAACAAAACATACTTTTTTTATGTTGCTGATGTCAGTCGTCTCTGGTCGATGGAGAGCTAATTGTGCAAGAGCTGCTGTTGCCTCAGTATCCGGTAGCACTTCCAACTTTGCCCATTGCTTTAGACGATCTTCGGGTGGCTAAGCGATAGTAATATAAACAGTTCAGACAAGAGCTTTCATTCATTACATTCGAAAAAGTAGCTTTAAGTAGTATGAAGGTACAAAAATTCTCCAGAGAGTAACGTTTCTTTAACTTTTTTGTAGCAAGTAGTACTTATTTAATATCATTTTCTACCCTAGGCAGTATTGAAAGCACCGCAAAAACTATGGAAACTCGCAGTCAATCTTTGTAAAAGTATACGTATGAAAAAGTAAATAAAAATACTTCCATTCAGTATTAAAAAATCTAATATTCTAGACTTTTCTTTTGCCTAGCGGTTCTTCTCCGCCGATTCCCTTCAACCACCGGATCACAACAATGCCCTTTGAAAACCTTAGCGACAGAGGTCGTTACTGGACAGTTGACATCACAAAGAACTAATAAATCAGACCAGAGACGACGGACGGAGTTATCTACGCTCAGTCGGATGGCCTTCACAAAAATACGTTTTCCCGGTCATTATTATTATTGTTATTGTTATTATTACCTATTATTATTATTATTATTATTACTATTGCCACATCGTAGATAGAGTTTCAAATAGAAAAAAATTATTGCTACATATTGCTCCTGAATATTGGTAGTGCTCTGGGTACTTTCCTCCACAGACGTTGAACGAAAACTCGGAAGATGAACGTCGATTGGCAGAGCTGGAAACGGCTCCACAACAACTGTAAAGGCCATCTACATTAAACAACCTTTTTTTTCTCAATAATTCGTTCATAATTTAAAATTTCAGCCCTATGTCCTACAAATATAAACTGCATGTGAAAAAGAGCAATTATTGTTCATTTTTAAGTATTGAAATCTCAGCCTGTCACCTAATTTAGTAGTTGTTTCAATCTCACAGGATACAAAAGCGAAGCAGTAGAAATCAGAAACTTGGAACATGTATATACATATATATATACATAAATATATATATATGTATATACATATATATGTACATGTATACACACATACATGTATATATATATATATATATATATATCTGATACTTGAAAGGTCCGACCTCACTGGTTGGGCAGGCCATAGCATAATCACCACTTTTCGAAGATTTGCTGGTTAAGCCATTGTGGTTTCCTGGAATCCCGAGGTCAGCTTGGTCAAAGTCTGCCCCAGGTCTTCACCAGTCGCTGCTCTTGTGGATCAGAGGGAGATTTACCACCATGCGACGTTGATACAAGGACGGTGGTGGATCTTGGTATTGGTTTACTCCTAGTTAGGCTCTAGGTTTTCCGATGGAAACGCTGGATTGCTTCTCAGCATGGAGGCCCTGCCAGGGAGATGAATCCCCTCGCTATGCATCGCAGTCCGACACACCTAGAAGCACGTTCCAGCTACTATGAGGCGGTAAACAGCTGGAATGATATATATATATATATATATATATATATATATAAAATTGTCGAAACGGCTCAATTGTCACTTAGTGTTCTCTTTTTCAAATTTCTTCACCCTTTCTGTGTTTTTTCCCTTCCGTTAGCGGCATTCCAAATTTTGCAGAATCTTAAGATTAACACTCTCATACTTGTAATAGTTCCCAAGATCGAGCCCCTTTCCTGAATTCGTTAACAGATATTTACAAACCGGTAAAAGAGCGATGCAACCGCTCATCGAAAATTCTTTGCAGTGAGCTATTTTATTCCCAGAAATTTCCCATAACGTATTTCCTCAGCCGATTTCATGAAAGAGTACCACATTAACCGAGCTAACATGCACAAAAATAGAGAAATGTAGCGAGTCAAATGTGGTAATTGTGAGAGCACGTAGCGCAATGGTTAGAAGTGCCCCGAAATACACACGTTGTTGTTGGTTAGATCGCCCTTCCTAAGCATCCAAATCTACCATGGTCCGCAGGTTAGTATCAGATTTGTCTAGGAGGATAAAAACACTGACTTGGTACAACATTAAGCCACTGAAAATTAGTGCTTAGGCCGAATACGCATTCAACCATCTCTGCGAATTTTAAGGGACTCGAATGAATTGCGCATCTATTAAGAGTTGATTCATAAGACAAATGTTTAATCCTCTTATTCTAATAATGAATAGTATTACATGGATAGAGATAACAGGGTAAAGCGCTCAGCGTTCTCTGCGGAATAGACTATGCATTCGACATCATCAAGAATCGTTAGATATCACGTGACTTAATGCATATTTGACCTTTAAAATAACCTGTGGTCGCCAACGAATCTACCAATTCAGCGCTGCTATCATCCCGGATAAATCTGGTGCTAACTCTCCCAGTTCGGAGGTTCGGAAGGCTTGGTGAGTTTGGGGAATGGGATTGAACCTAGGACTACGCATGTAATGCAAGGCACCTCTAATCGTTGTGCTAAACGCGCGCTCAACGCTAAAAGAAACGCTCTCAGTGAATGAAATAAAATCGCACCGTCAGTGTATTCGTAAATTCCGGTCGACGTTTTTCTTATTGAGACTCGAGATGACTTCCGTTCCGGTGGAGGGCATAATGCCGACAAGATCACTAACACATGAGTAATATTAGAGACAGCTGATATAATTTAGAAGTAAAGAACAGCTGCACTGAATCATAAACGTGCTTCCTTTCATGTTCGAACTTTACATAGGTGATTCACTAGAAGTTCTCGAAACGGTGCTGTTGACTTACATTGCTTCTGGTCGTCGCCATTCATTTCATTACTTCTAGTAGTTTCCATGACAGAACCCTAAAATCAAAACGTTCAATTCAAAGTGTTTCATAGGATTAGATCTTTCGTAATTAAGCAGTATCATGTACGATAGAAAGATTAGATGTGTATAGAGAGAAAAATGTTGGGATGTATTTGTCATAATAGCCAACTTCTCAAGAACCTTCTTCTCCACAATTTTTGTAGTCCTGGATTAAAATTTAATAGTGGAAGTATTTACAGAAACCTATGAATAGGACCTTCTAAAAGAATTCGGAAACGAATTTTTAAGGCAAGCGTACTTCTGTTAATGGACAGGAGTATAGCAATTTATTTGGGATACAAACAGATAATCATTACCTTTTGGCTCTGTCATAAATATTTGAATAAAAGTATGTTAAATAGGACAGCCTACTGTCTAATTGTTCACTCCTAAACACATACCGAAACTGGACCAATACAGGATTGGCACGACCTGTGCGCAAGGATAATACCAAAATCTGTGAAGCGGATAGTCCAGAATTATCCCTCTGCTCCCATTGTTTAGTGCTTAGGCGTAGCTGGGAGTTCTCTTCTACATCGAACTGCGTTATGTACCGAGGGGTCATGGGATCACGAATTCTTACTTATATTGAGAATAAAGTCGACATCTTCACTTGGAAGTGGAGTGAAAAGGAAGGCCATGCCACACCAAAACATGGCGGGCCACGCGCAGGTAAAAACAGCCGAAATTCAAGTCTCCATATTAAAAGTGTGAAGCGCTTCGTTCCTTTCGTTATAGTTGAGCCACTTGACAGCTCTGATCTGGAACAGATACGAAGGGAGACTCCGCCGGTGTGTGTTCGATCTACTAGATGATTTTTGGGATTAATGATGACATAGATAATGGTGGTTTTGAATTGCCGGGAACGCACAGCGGCATTTTATGGGTCTGTTTTCACGTGCTTGAAGAAACTGCGTCACCAAATGTTTGTCACGAGAGCATAAAATAGTAAACAATTTGAATAACTAGTGGGGTGGCTTCTCTGAAACGGCAAAATACTGCACGCAGACTATAGCGGACCCCCGTAAAAAAATGATACGACAACGATTAGTGATGTTTGGATGAATCTGTCCAAAATTTTTCTACTTCTAACAATGCACTCTTCAGCGATACGTCCTAACTAAATGATACGTTCTTTCATAGAAGAGCGTAGCTCAACAAGCGGACTTATTTGAAAAGAAAAACGTGCCGATGGGTGGAAATGTCCATGAAAGCTGTTCTTGCTAGTTTTTGCCATGGGAGCCGGAATGTCATTACATGGTACTTGATCGCTGTATCCAACAGAAGCAGAAATTGCTTTTGTCCAGAAAAAATGTTGAACGCAAAATGGTAAATCTCCCTTAGATCCACAAAGGCCGGCAGCCGACTGTGGTTAAGACTTAGGTAGGTTGCAGCATGCCTCCTCTCTCCAGATTCTATGGAAAACTAGGCTCAACTATTATGAAGTGAGTTAGAAGATCGTCAGTTTACTCAGTCCCAAATACAAACTCTACCAACTTAATGGGTGATGGTTGTGAGACAGCGAATCGCCTGCGAGATGCGCTAGATCTGCGTAATATGTTAAAGTGGACCATCCTAGGTGTTCAAGAAAAGAAAGTATTACACGACTAGCAAATTACCAGTGAAAATAAATATATCCTATTGCGGCAGTATTCAGAACAGCAATTAAGACAGAATTTTACAGAGTCTCAAGCTACAGCCGAATTCCAATTCGAATCCGACTACCTCTATGGTGGCAAGACAATGAAACGCAACAGAAGTGCTGGATCTCACATGACAATACGAAGATGTTACATCTAAGAATCTAGACAGTACGCTGTTCAAGAATTCACTGATGTTGGTGTCATAAGTGTTATGAGCATTTGAAATGCGACATGACAGCGGAAGTAGATGTGGGTACGTGGGGAATTTCCCGATATTGTAACTTCACGCTGCGTTGTATCACGACAGTCACATGTTAGATGTCAAATGGTCATGTTTTCAAAGCTTTCTCGAATGTACAATATACAGGCTTCTCAGAGTTATAGAAGTATATGTTCAGCTCTGTGATCTGATTTATTTACACAGCATTTATGATTCTTGGGAAAAAAAAAGTTCCCGCTACAGTAAGATTACCCCATGGGCAGCACTCATCCACCAACCTATTTATTGGGACATTTAAAAGATTTTGTGAGTAACTACCGTCTTCATAAGTAGTAAATTGGCATTAACCACCAGGATATCATCGTACTCCCAAAATATATGTACAACTGACTATTGGCAAACGAGTATAACTTCCTCCGTGGACTTCCGAGAATGAATGAGCTAAACATTGCCATTAGCAATCGTAGAACAAAGTTTCTTTTAAAAGACTCGACCTCAGATAAGCAGAAATTCTACCCACAACATCTGAATTCGTTTACATTCACACTGAAGCTAAACGACAAAGATGAACGCGCACAAAGGGAAAAGAACATAAAACTCTGAAGATTAGACGATCGATGAGGTCCAACAAGACTCTTGTCAGTGCGATTTTGTGGGTGAAAAATCCTGAACCCAGAAGATTATTTATTTATCTCAGAAAAAGAACATAACCAATAAAATTGCCAGATTCGATAGAGATTAACGGCTGTTATGTCTCACCGAGAGGAAACATGATGTGTAGCACAGATGAATTTTATAGATTAATAAACAGAAACATGCGAGCATCTTGATACTTGACACTTAAACGACCCGTCCTAACTGATTGTGCGGGCTCCAGCATAATCACCACTTTTCGGAGATTTGATGATTAAGTCATTGTGGTTCCCTGGAAGCCTGAGGTCAGCTTGGCCAAAGTCTGCCCCAGGCCTTCACCACCGCAGGCAGTCGCCTGCGAGCATCAGCAATCTTAATTTCTTTTTTAATTTCCCGAGATTGACGAGCAATCAGTCTCCTATTTGATCCTTGAACATTATGTGGTTGAATATTTGTAAAAATCGCTATCGTTCTCGAAGAACCCTTGTAGCAACTCAGTAAATGTCGCTCTGGTCCTCAACGCCCAATACTCTGCTTGTGTGAAGAAGTGGGAACGCGTGGTAATGATCTCCGGATTCCAAAGAAAGTCATGCCTAATAACTCGAAAGACCGACTTTCTATAAACCTCGGCATAGATAGTTAATATGCTTAATTATATGATCTTATGAACTGATCTTCTTAAGCTGACGCGAAATTAGTACAGGTCTTCGTTCTCGTTGTCGTTGTTTCTGATGTCGTTGGTCGATGGCTGACGTTTTAGCGACTTCGCCTTCCTCAGAGCCTGGACGTACTTTATATTAGAATATTTTTATTATTCGGTGGAAAAAAAAAGGTTAAAGAGTTAACGAAGATCAAACTTTCAAATAGACGCCATATTGAACAGAAAGGCCACTCACCGTGATGTTACATGCGGGACCGGCCCACGAAAAATTGCCATTTCCAATGGCTACGAAGTAGAAGCCACTCGGGTTAGACAAAAACGTACGGTAGTTTCCCAAAATAATATTTCAGACGTAAGTAAGATCCCCTTTAAGCTAACCTTCATATCAAATGAAGTAAGTTACGCCATTAAGATATGCTTAAGAAAAAGTGGTCTTAAAAATTACGCAACGATTATTGACATCCCACCCAATATGCTACGCCGTCAGTTAGTTCGCAACCGTCTCTATGATCGTCTGTGCAGCTCAGAAAACTGTATGATCTGTCCTAACGGGAGAGATGGGGATTGCATGAGTTTGGGCATAATATACTTGATCTCATGTAATGCATGCGGTGGGGAATATATCGGGGAAACGAGCAGACCACTTTGTGTCCGCATAAAAGAACATCGAGATGGGAAAGCTAAAATCCGTTTAAACACCCCTCTAGGTACGCATAGGGCACAAAAGCACAACGGCGATGATTTTGAAGTGAATGTGCGGATCCTAGCGCAGGAATCAAAAACATCAACGCGCAAAACTCTTGAGGCATTTTGGATAAATTTCAAAAATCCAAAGACAAACCGGAAGGACGAATGCCTCACTATCACGCGTGACCTGGCGCCCTAGTTCAAAACGATATTTTGACCCCGGGGCGTGTTTTGCTCCACGTGAACTACGTGTGGACCAGTCCCGCACGTAACATCACGGTGAGTGGCCTTTCTGTTCAATATGGCGTCTATTTGAAAGTTTGATCTTCATTAACACTTTAACCTTTCTTTTCCACCGAATAATAAAAATATTCTAATATAAAGTACGTCCAGGCTCTGAGGAAGGCGAAGTCGCCAAAACGTCAGCCATCGACCAACGACATCAAAAACAACGACAACGACGACGACAACGAAGACCTGTACCAATCTCGCGTCAGCTTAAGAAGATCAGTTTATAAGATCATATAAATAAACATATTAAAATCATGCTTAGCTAGCATTGAGGATATCAATGAGGACTGAAGGCGTAGCCGTAGCCGTAATTCCTACGAGAACACGATGACCTCTTTGTTTGACGGTTTCAAGGCAAAAAAAACGAACTGAACAAGTGCATGAGACGTGAGTGTGGGCATCATCAAAGTGAAAATGTGTGTTTGGAAGATTAATTCCAACTCAGCAGCAAACTTAACACCTAGTTGTTCATTCTTTCTTCTTCGTGATGAGGTCACACGAGATCGCACGACGTAATTAATAACTCTCGCCCACGTTTCGGAAGATTTCATATCCCTTCCTCATTAAACGGTTTTATTGACCTGAAACACTTTACAACAGATTTATGGATTCCTTTCGATCATATAATGAAAGCAATCGAATGGATTTCGGCTATAGTAACTTTGCCAATGATTGACTCCTTCAAATGAAAGCTTCACATCAGCATTGTAGGAATAGTTCACTTTTGACGGAATATCTTTGATGCATTGATTTTCGTTACTTTTCTTACCTAAACTGCAAACTTTCCTTGGAAACGTTAATCACGGCAATACGTTAAAAGGATGAAGCTGTTGGAGCCGATCAATCCCGGAAGGACGCACCATATATTCGACTTCATTAAACATTTCGAAACCGACTTTCCTTGAACCTCGGTATCACTAATCAATATGTACTCTCTCTTTGATGAGCTTACACGAGGTTGATAATGATGTTTATTTTCGGCTAACGTTTGGACGTCTTCGTCTTCCTCAGAGCCGATGATCCGAGTCGATGGTCCTCGCTCGTTTTTCGTCTCGACGTGGCAGCTTCGCCTTCGTGCCGAGTCAGGTCTTCTTCGGTGAGCCATCTCCTCGAATGAGACAACCTTACTCAGTGATGGTCTTTTATACACGATGCTGATGGTGGATATAATGATAATATCCGGTGATAACATAATGGTGATGGTGTCCGGTTGTTATCACCGACGTTACAGCTTATAAATACTGCCATTTACCATCTTCTTTCATGAGCTACAATGTGGTTGCACTTCTTCCTTGGATACTTGGACGGTCCGTCTTCACGAGCTGTGTGGACCCCAGCACATATGCCATTCGTTTCTTTCTCTCGCAATTATAGACCATGGTGGACGTCTTGTTCGAGCGTGGTAGCGCGTGCTAGTCTCATACCGTGATCTCTAAAACAACTGTAGCTGCGTGTACAGCTGATTAACTTTGTTTACGAACACGTCCGCCCAACGTGAAGGTGGTCGTCCAAGGGGACGTTTGCATTCTCTTGGAGTCCACTCTACTGTTCTTTACATCCGTTTGTCTGTCGTTCTCCTCATTATGTGATCGGCCCATCAATGTTTCGCTGTCGATGTATATTCTCCTAGACCTCGAAGATGTGACAGCTTTCGAACGTCAGAGCTTCGCATTTCAGCTACATATTGAGAGTGCCGGTTATATCTCGGAAGACATCGCTCAAGCTCTCTGTGAGCAGTTCGAAGCATTCTTGACGTAATTGAAGTATCAACCCACGTCCCTGCAGCATAAAAGAGCGCTGGAAGGACCGTAGAATCAAAGAGATGAGCGCCGATTTTCGGGTTCTTCAGTTGGTCAGTGGCTTCTTCGAGAGGCCCGAATGCGGCCCAAGTTGCTCTCCTTCTATCTAGTTCCTCCTTCATGTTGTTTTCCATGTTCACTGATCGCTCAAGGTAAACGTACGAAGTGGTCTCTGCAATGGGGGAGCCATCCAATTCAATTTTTTCGCCTTTGCACCATGGGTTTTTCATGAACTGGATCTTCTTTCGATTTGTGCGAAGTCCGATCTTTTCCCCGCTTCGTTGAGCTCGTTGATCATCATCTCTGCTTCGCTAGTACTTCTTGAGAAGATGACAATGTCGGTTTGATAAGAATTTCCCATCAATATGTATGCCTTTCTCGTCCCACTCGAGTGACTTCATTATCGACTGCATCGCCGCACCGAACAGCTTTGGCGATATTGCGTCGTCCTGCCGAACCGCCTTTCCAGTGGGTATTGTAGGAGGTCGATGGAAAAGCTGTATTTTCTTAGTGCAGTTCTGATAACAATCGGACAGAGTTCTTATGTAGAACGGGTCCACTCCTTGGTCGACGAGCGCTGATAGGATTGCATTCGTTTCGACACTGTCAAACGCTTTCTCATAGTCGAAAAAGGTTAGGACTAGAGGCAAGTGGTATTCACCACAAACTTCGATGACCCTGAACACGGTTTGGATGTGGTCCATGCAGCAAAATCCTTTTCGAAATCCTGCTTGCTCGACTGGTTGCGCCTCATCCAATGTCCTTGATATGCGCGAGAGGATAATCTTCGTGAGGAGCTTGTAGAGTACACTCAGCTGGCATGTGGGGCGACAGTTACGAAAATCCCTTCGGTCTCCTTTCTTAGGCAGGATAACCGTGGGCGACGTCCTCCACTGGTTTGGGTTTTTTTTCCTTCTGAAGGTGGCCTGTCATATGATTTGTGAAAAGTACATGTAAATTGTGGCCTCCAGCTCTAAGGAAATCGGCAGTGGTCTTTTCAGGTCCTGGAGATGTGCCTCTTTTCATGCTTTCTATCGCAACTCGAACCTCTGACGGAAGAATTCCAGGTAATTTTTCTCCAACGGGGATATTAGTGCCCGGGACGAGGATTGTGGGACGGAAAAAGTTGGTGTAGAAGGTTTCCGCTATTAATTCCATACCATGGCGGGAAGTTTTGGCGATCCCATCTTCGTTCATCAGCACTAACAGCGGAACATTATAATCACACAAGTCCCCACAGCATCTTTTCAGACTGCTTCTTTTCTCTGCTTCTCCCAGTACTTATTTCGTATTTCATGAACGATGACGTGAATTCTTTTCCAACTTACGTCTGAATCGAATCTTCGGGAGAAGAAGACGGTGATCTGAACCAGTACAGAATGACGAGACTACCGATGTGTCAACTAGGCACCATCTTCTGCTTGTCAACTAGGCACCATCTTCTGCTTGCTTTCTTTCTTCTGGAAAAACGAGTTCCCATCGAAGAGACGTACTGCTGACAGGAGTCCTGCGAGACGGTTCCCATTCTCATTTCTTTCTCCTAATCCAAAATTTCCGATGCTCTATTCGCTCTCGTTGGCCTTTCCCATTCTGGCGTTGTCTCCAACAACAAATTTATGATATGTTTTATCATTGAGGATGACTTCCTCCAACTGATAGCAGAACGCATTTAATTCGTGCTCAGCAGCTGCGTCGGTCGGTGAGTAGTAGTTGATGATAGTGATCTTCTTATGATGCGACAGTTGAGGACGAAGGACCGCTATGCGAGGGGAAAGGATCACGTATGAGTCGACGAGATGGGCAATGGACGAGTGAACGACAAAGCCTACGCCACCCACATTTCGTGACGGGTCCTTTTCCCCACGGATTACAAGAGTCCCGTTGCTTAGTTGGCGTACGTCGGTCTTCTTGATTTTTGTTTCTTGTAATGCGATCACATAAAATTCAATGCGATTCGCTGCTACAAGAAGGGCGTGAAGATCGGCGTATGTGCAGTGTTCTGGAATTATGCGTGCATAGTAAGAAACAATCTCCATGGCGTGTCCTGCGTGTGTTCGTTAGATCCGGTTGCGATTACGTCCTGCGTAACTCGAGATTTTCTGGCCTCTCACCGGTCATCTCACCGCCTGACGTCATAGACACTTAGTTGCTGGTCGTACAGCTTGGTCCTCCCTGAAGTCCTAACGTAACCTTGCAAGGGTGTATCCAGGTCTTCACCACGATGTGGATCAGATGTAGGTGTCAGTGGATCAGAGGTTGTACGTCTTCAGTGGTGAAATGGACAATAGTTGAATCTTTCGTTAAGAGCCAAGACCTACGAAATGAACATAACCACTGCTTTTCCTCTGTTGTTAAGGTGACGGAAATGTTTGATTAAAAAACTGCAAATCAGCACTAGTGTTCTCGGTTATGAAAAAAAGGAAGTACGCCGACCGAAAAGCATCTAAATTCAAGCAAACATCGTAAACTGATACCCACCATCGGAGTTGCCAAATTGGTATCACACTTCTCTGGGAAACCCTTTTTCGATCCATAAAGGCGTGCTACTGGAAATCGTGGAGAGCTGGGAACACTCGACCACAACGAATTCAGGATTCCAGGAAGAATCAACTCGACTAGCTTTCAATGAAATTCATAAAGAAGACCAAAAATCATGAAAGACCAGTATTCATGAAGAATACAACGCTCTCAAGTGACAGCTGAACCAATAAACAAATCCGAAGACATTCGTCGATGATCGATGCAAGAAAACGAACCGAATGCAAGAAGTGCTGGGATTCTCACAACAAATGATATCGAATCAAATAAATAAATAAACCAGTCCTATGTTTGCTCAGGGGGAAAACGTGAACTTGGGAACATCAGTTTCCCACGACAATGAACGACGACAGGAAATCAACATACTATGAAGAAACTTACTTGGTACTTGGTACTTCAACGTGCCGTCCTCACTGGTTGTGTAGGCCTCAGTGTAACCTCCATTTCTCGGAGCTTTGCTGTTTAAGCCATTGTGGTTCCCTGGAATCCCGATAACAGCCTTGTCAAACTCTGCCCCAGGTCTTCACCACCACGGGCAGTCGCCGCCCTTGTGAATCAGAGAGGGATTTGTCACCTACGACTTTGATACCAAGACGGTGGTGGATCCTGGTATTAGTGGAAAAACTTGATATCTTCAAGTAAATATTGATAAATAAAAGACATCGCATGCGAGAAGACTACTTCATTCAGCATTTTCTCCATCATTATTAGTAAGAACTGAACTTTGAATGTTCTTTCTCAAAAGTGGAAATCTGGAGTGCCATCAATTGGAATCACAAAACAACTCTGTTGTTGCACCTATTTTATAGATATCGATCGATTCTCTCATATCATTACTTTAATGGGTGCTCTGAAGCGCATATAATAGGTTTGTTTAAAAGTCAAAGAAACACAGAAAGTGCATTTATCACACAAAATCACACTGTATAATGTTGAATATTTCTAGCCAATAGGATAACAATTCAAAGATTCCCATCGTCCGCTTTTTTAATCGTAAATATCGAAGAAAAATGTGAAAGGGCAAATCACTAAGCAGATGACTGATCGGAAAAAAAAGAGTCGGAGAAAGAAAAGAAAGAAAAAAGAGTCAAATGAATGGAAATCTCATAAGTTTGGGCTATATTGCGAAAAAGAGATGTAGAATTCTATAGCAGACACCATCACTTGGTCAAAAACTACGTTTACTTGAAGGACCCTTGCATGCAAATGGCAAAATCTGAGGGGGATTTCTCTGAGAATCTTTCTGAGGACTTCGTACTTCTAAAGAAAATGAAGAGCTGAAACGTCAAACAGAGATGCAGAACTGATCTTGAGTAGGATTTTTATGATTAGTACTAGAAGTTCTCAGCAAGAAGCAACCAAAAATTGAGAAGGAGAAGAAGAAAGAAGGAAAGAAATAAGGAAGGAAAGAAAGAAGCGAAGAAAAGAAAGAGAAGCGCAGATGATGAAGTGATGATACAAAATTTGTCGGTTGTTCGATGAAGTGATCGAACATCAAGAAGACTTCTCAATTATTTGCTACGATGTTTTTTTCTTCGTCGCTAATCAATTTCAACCATGGACCAGCTGGTATTAGGCCTGAATAGAACTCTGTTAAAAGTTAGAGTTAAGAGAATCAAAAGCTAGCATTTTCACGAAAGTCAGTCTAAATAAAAGCAATAAAGTATGAGGCTGCAGCTTTTAGGATGTTCGAAAAATCTCTCTTGTTAACTTTGAAGTCTTTTTCTTTCGTTAAGAATCCAAAGCAAAACAAGCTGATGACAAGACAACTCATAATGACGAGATTGGCGAATCACTGTACTACCAGACAGTTAACTGCTAAGAGGTAGTGATTTAGGAGTCCTACAATATCACTAAGCAGGTGGTTTCTCTTCTGATTAAGTAAACAATAGTTTAAATAGTATAGAGAGGCTTTCAGCTCCTAAATATATGACAAAAGCGATGTTTACATGAATGCCGAAATAACAGAACAATAAACAAATCGACCGAGGAGAATGAATGAGCGCATGAATCGATGCAACGAACACTCGGTGCCCTAATAGAAATGAAACTGTGGTAAGGTAGCAGTTCAGCGAAACGATGAAAGTTCGGGTTCTCATCAGAAAAGAGAGATTCTTAGAACTATGATGGAAAAAAACTAAAAGAAGCTATAACAAATCGCCGTTTCTCCAGATAAGAACACATGAGGTTTCTACATTACTATTTGTCCACAATAGCTAACGTTTTGGCGGATTTAGCCCTATTCGCAGCCTGTAGGATGAGCTAAATACAACCTAGGCAGCCAAACACCTCGACAATATAGTAGTCCCCTCTACTCCTCCTTATTTGTACAGTAGACAAGGGATCGTCATGGGACCCGCGCATATTGATTTGCGCACAGCAGATATGTCTTACGATCTTCGTGATAAACAACAGTCTTGGTATTTTGTTAGTTTTCCAGTGACCGGTCATCCTATCAGTTCAAAAGTTAGGAAAAGGTGAGGTAGAACTCAAGTAGACGAAGAAATTCGTCGCAAAAGTTGTTTGTTCTTAGTACGTGTTCATAAGTAGAGAATAGCTTCTCGCTAACTGTCCCTCGGATGTTATTTATTGTTGGAAAACTAGCTGTCGCTTCAATCCAGAAAGGTATTTCTGAAGAAACTCATACGTGGAAGGCGATAGCCGATAAGAAAATAAATCGTCGAATCAATGAAAATCGTCCAGTGTGCCTCACAAATGTGCATTGACATCAATGCATATTGTCAGAAATGTCAGATATAAAGTGCCGATTACAATTGTTGGCAAAAGATGGTTACTCACCTAGGAAATAGTTACATTGATCTCTGATCTGCAGTGAATGCGCGAAAATTAACGAAAGAATCAACAATGGTTCTTCTCTCTGGTTCTAGAATGTGCACAGTCAAGCGGAAAGTAATGAATGTGCTATGAGAATTCACCACTTTTAAAGGTACCGCTTTGTCAGCTAATTCACCGAAACTCTAAAACACTTCAAGTTTTTCGCTTTGTGAAAATTTAAGGAGAATAATCGAAGGAATCGGAAGGATGCTTCACGGTTTTGTGACCGAAGATGAAGTAAGCGCTTGAAGTCCATGGTTGTTAACACTGTGGTTCATCTAAGTGCCGACAATAATGAGGAGATGAGGGCTAATGATGAGGTCGATGGATGATGAGCTTAGCGCTGGCGACGAAGCAGCTGCGAATGAGTCTCCTTTGACAAAGGCGGCGAAGAATATGGAAAAAAGAGTTGATACATTCCGACGACAACACGATGACTAAAGGGGACTTTGAGAAAGTTTTTACTCTGATGGAATACTGTAATCAAAACAAGCACTCAGGAACAAATGAACCAATGCTAATAAGATGAAGGTGTGAGAAGCTTCAAATCGAACTAAAACCTGTCACTTGCTGAAATGTACGGTTATTCTACAACAGTACAGGCCGAAACATCGAAAAGAAAGGAAAAAACTAAGGAATCGCTACCTTACCATAAGTCTGAGGCATCAGCTCTTCGTTCTTCGAAAGATTCCGTAAGAGAGAAAACGTTTCAAATTTTAATCTACATCAAGACTTCCTCCTCGGATCTCCCTCATATAAAGGACCTCGAGCCGGTTGGTCACGGGGCTACGTAGCGCGTCCCCAGGTGGCGGATAGGGAGTTAATCGCGGACCAAAAGCGACCTTTGCTTCCCTGGGACGTAGGTGGATCCAGAGGATGAACTCTCTGTTTCTGCTTCGCCAACTTGGCACTTACTTTCTGTATTTACGAGGCGTATTCATGCACAGGTGTGCGGGTGCTTTCTTGCTTCTGTGGATTATATTCTGCGAGTCAATTCGGGCAAAAGCCTGCAATCAAGTGACTGGGAAGTATATGGGGGGCGGTTAGGAGTCGCCTCCAACAAATAAGCTCCATGTCCACTCTGGAAGACCCTGGCAAACTACCCGTGAGTATGCCGAGCCCCACGTTCAGAGCCCAGCAAGCTATACGTGGGTATCAAAAATGCTAAACACAGTTTAAAAAAAATGGGTCTTATTCCCCTGACCCTGAAAGAGCCCTCAATTTCGCAGCGTTGGGTAGGACAAGTACGGAGAGGTTGCTAAAATCTCAGGGCCAATGGAAGCTGCCTGGATTTCAAAGAACTATGGTGACGATCTGTACCTACAATGCACGTACACTTGCATCCGAGTCCTTGATAGGCAAGAAGAATAAAGTACGATGTCATTGGCCTGGCCCAGACGAGAAGACGCCAGCCTTTCAACGCCGTCTATAACACGGGAAAAGAACTTTTACTCGGAACATGCGACAGTAGAGGAGTCGGCGGCGTCATCGTTCTCGTCAACACGAGTTTGTCCATGAACATCGATTCATTCGAACAACTTACAACTCGAATCGGACGTTTACTATTAAGAAGAAGTGGATCAATTCCGGCTTTGACAATCTTCGTCGTTTACGCGCAGACATCAAACTATGACGAAGAAGTCGAAGCGTTCTATATGGACTT